TTTTTCTGTTTTTAACAGCAGGGCTATCTTGAGCAGCTTGCATCACCACCAGCTTATTCACATATAACAAGTGAACTTGAGCAACAATTAATGTAGGTGATTTGGTAATTTATTAATTTTATGAATAGACCTAAAATGAAAAGGATAGTTACAAATAAAGGCTTAAATTCCACAACTTAATGTCTTGACATGCCCCTATGTTGATTAATTGCAGCATCTACATGAAATTTTAAAAAAACCTCTTTATGCATTTCACAACAGTTTTAGTAAAGTGAGACTCTTTGCACAATCTCATTGGTAAGAACCAAAAAAATAAGATGAGAATGATTAGATTACATTAGCATGTACTTTTGAGGAATACTAAATTGCAGCATTGGAGGACTTCACCGTGTTTACACGTAGCCTCGTTCAAACACTCACTCACTCTTGTGTTAAACTGACTGGACATAAAAACACAGAAAAAAGTCCACTACTGCTTAATAACAAAATTACTGAAATAAAATGCATGCTCCTGTACACTGCACTGCTTGATGAGTTTGCTTTAGTTGTGTCAAAATTCTCCCAACCCCCACCCAATGTTTCCACTTTTTCGATCATGCCATGTAAACAAGGTTAGAAGTCGTCTATTTCTGCAATAACAGTGTAACGATTTTGATAAATCAGTAATGAATGACCTTGTTGAATACTTGATAAGATATTTTAAAATCACGTACTGCTCATACTATATCATCTAGCAGATGTTACAAAAGTAAGGTAATCTTTGATCTATCGAACAGCCAATATATTACCTGACAGTCTAACGTTACCGTACCCTTTTTTCCAATATTATTCCGTGTCTACCAAAGCCATTTTCACTTAATTTTTCCAAACTGGCTTTTATCTTGAGAGTATAGAGTACTTAAGCTGTGCAATAAATGAATCAATCCTGTAACAACTATAACCTATACATATATTGTTGTACTATGTTGAAGGGAACATACCTCATCAAAGAGAACCGAAAAAGTTTAGGGTGATCTCATAGATCTCGAACGTTACTTCGCCTTCCCCTACGTTCTCCGAGACATCAGTCCTGCATACTTCAATCATATGTCTACAAACCCTACATTTTCCGCGAAGAAAAACGGAAAGACAGAACACATAAAGTTCTAAGTCATACTTCGGAACACACGTACTTCGGAATACTTGAAGTGCATGTATATTGACTGCATGGTAACTAAGAGCTCTCACTAATTAGTACCCAGCCCTCTATGCGTTGGCCTTGGAGGTCAGAGGAGTAGAAAAGCGAGTTAATAATGACAAAGCGCACAATTTGCCTTGTCCTCTCTCACAGTCTTCCTACAAGAAGTTACTACTGCCGCAATCATTTATGCAAGGGCCGAACTCCTTTTCAAAGACAACAGACAGTGACCGATTTAATCGCCACACTGAGATAAAAATGGAGAAGACGCCTGTGACATCGAATAGAAGTCCATCGGAACGGCAACTGTTTTTTCCTTTCTTCAAGATTATGAGGAAAATTCAACAACTTACCTTGTGGCTTGCACAATCCCCTTAAAATCGAAATTTTAATAAATTAAACATTACACCTCAAAGAAGTCGAAAGAAACGAGAAAAAGATCTCTTTGATCTTCAGGTAAAAATTTTTAATGGCCTACTTGATATCAAGGTCTAACTGTTTTCAAAATTTTTAGGAATGAGACTTGCATTTGGAGGATCCTAGAATGTTCAAAATTATTGAAACAAAGATGTGTTAAAATAATATATTTTTTCCTTTTCCTAAGAGCAGCTAAGGATCTTGGTTTGATGAGAACGCTGGCAAAATCTCAATTCCTTTCAGCTCAGAAACCATACCCGTAACGTCATATCCTGACATTCTACGAATGATTGGATTTTAAAATTACAACTACCTGCATCTTGAAACTAAACACGAAAACAAAGTGCTGCTTCTCGAGAAACAAGACATAGACAGGGCCGATATCGAGCCGGAACAAGAAAAACGTTTGTGTCAACGCGGTATTTTTCGCTTGTTTTTGTTTTCTCTTTTTGGCGGCAAACGTATGACCATTGCCTAACTTTCAGCGGCTGCAAAATGTGGAAGGTGCGTGGTGTTGCCGTCATGGTCGTTCGTTTCCCCTCGTGGTGCTACATCAATCTTTTGAGATATTTACTTTTAACGAAGTTTCCAAGAAGTTTGCTGATATTTCCGCTGCTAAATTTAGAGTTTGAAGAGAAGTTATAATTTGAAAGAACATCGTTGATCGGAGGTAAGATGCAACGGGGTTTGTATGCAGTTGTGAACATTTTCACTACCTAAACATTGTAATGACAAGTACGCATCCTTATCGGAGATTGAGGAACACCAAAAATGATAGTTTTGGATTTACTCAAGCTTTAGATTTTATGACACAGACAAGGTGACCATCCAGCAGTTGATTAATGTTACATCTCTAGCTATTTGAGTGCGTTCTCGAGCGGAGAGAGTTGAATATTTCAAAGCCACAACATGTTTTCTTGGTCAGCTATTACGTAGCTACATGTAAGTCACGTGGTTGGGCCTCAGTCAATTTAAATGTAGACAAAAGCATCAAATGATAATGATTTTTATATATTTAAGAGGAAAGTCATGCGTATTAACTACAGTTTGGAGTCATTCACAATGAAACAACGAGTAGATTGAATAGCAAATTGTTTTCGCGAGAGCTATCTGGGCCACGGTCGTCGTCCTTTGACTTCGGTAGATATCATGAGCCTCGGCCTTGACAATGATTGCTACCATGCTGAGCATAATCCAGACCTTATCATGTATCAGAAGTACATATTAACTTACACAATAGAAAATGAAAACTTTGCCAAGAGAATAGGGGAAGAATAAACGTATGTTTGGAAATCCAAGAAATCGATAAACGATGATGAAGCATTCTGAAGATCGTTGCTGATCGTTTTAAGAGGCAGAGTGATGAGAAAATAAATCATTTAAACGGATCAATGTTTTGCCCAGTAACATTTGATATCGGCAAAGAGGCATTCACTCCGTTGCTGGACGTTCCTAGTCATGTCAACATTTCTCAGATTTATTTTTACTTCCGACAACCGAAGTTGTAGCTACCAGGGTAAAAATTCGTAAAATCAGCGGTTCTGAGGGGAAAGCCACTTATTGATAAGGAGTTTTCTCTGGTCTGCCAGATGCTCCCACATATTCTCAATCTTTGGGTGAGTTGCTCCTCTCTTGAGAACTGCACTAAAAGCCTTGCCTTCAACCCGCCATGTTTTTGTTTGACCAAGCGAATGTCTTTGGAACAAATCTGAAGAAGACGGTTTCTTCGTGACTGACGCACTCGTGGGTTTCAATCGTTTTTCAAAATTTCCTTTCACTTTGTCCGCCGAATGTATTTCTAATAACCAATTAGCCTCGGGTCTTAGAACTTCGTCACTTTCTTCAAAGCTTGTCGATGAACAGCGTGTCGCACCAGGTTTCTGCAGTGGTAAGACAGCGACTGTGTTACTCCGTGACAGAATATGTTTCGGAACAATCCAAGATCCTCTTCGCTGAAAGACAGCTCCACGTGACGAAGTGCAACTTTCCCTTTGAATGTATTCCTCTTTTTCTCTCGAATTGCCTGGAAATATTTTGCCATTTTGGAAACTTTCCTTGGAGAGAGAAATGCTCAGGTATTTTTCATCCTCTTTGAAGCTTCTTACACGGTTTCTTTCGCTATCTTGAAACGTTCCTTGCTTAAAACGAGTCTTCTTTAGAGAAAGTAAAATTTCCTTCATTTGCGGGGACATTGGGAGTTTATCCATGAAGAAACGTTCGGATGTACAAAAAATTCCTCAGTCGTTGGTGAAGGGTATTTTGCAGGTTATTAAATGTTTATTTAACCAAGACTAATCAAATCTTAATGAGATCTTTAAGTATCTTAAAGTCTGTTTGCATAACATCAAAAGTGAGTATAAAAGTTTTTTTTACTATAGATTAATTTGGACATCGCCGTTTTTATGGGAAAGGACTACCTCAGTTTCTTTGGGTCGCATAGATACCGCGTTTTCTCTCTTTCATCCTCGTCAAGAAGTGTTTCATTGAAAAGGCTTTCTTTATTATTTGATATTCAACAGGAAAATTAGCCTTTATGTGCGGCATTTCATTGAAAAATTGCTGACTGAAATTAGTTTACATAGCGAGTCTTAGTAGGTTTTTTTAGCCGAAGACTTTTATCCTGCATTTTCTATCACCTGTCTGCTTCAAGTTTTATAAACTTTTGTTTTCAACGAAAAGATAGACCAGCGAGGTTGGGAGAAAATCGATGCACATGCGTACATATTACAACTAACGTGCTCTAGGACTTGGGTATTAAAAAGCGCGTACGCACGATAATTTTTCACCACCTAACGCCGCTTCCAAGGCTGATGTGATCCTCATTACTGGCCAATTTGTCAGCCTATGTTATATAAACAAAGTTTACGCTCGTTAAGTAAAGAGACTTGATGATTTCATTTGATTTTCGTCATAATTTTTCTCAAATCCTTTACGTCATTTAGACAAAGTGCAATTTTCTCAGAAGAACACTTCAAAAACGTGAAGAAGCGGACACGATATTAAACACAGCTTGCAAATTGTTCTTATCGTTTTTAATTTTGAACATATCTTCGCAAGTTACTATGAGAAGCCACTCAATGTCGTAATAAAGAGTTTTCTGTCCAATGCCCCGTCGAATTGTGCATTCCTTTACTGAATCACATAAATACACGGAATGGGATAGCGATTTAACATTTGATCAAAGGAGGGGGCTTCAACTGTCACTTTCCAGCACAATTAGTGGAAAGTTTTATAATTGAATTGTCTAGTGTAACCATATTTGGGCAAGCCGTGTAAATTTAGTTATTTAAACAATGCGTGGTGCCAACATTTTTTAACTTCGACACTAGAGAACTTAAACAATATTGGTAAATTTTCTTATATTGCTTCGATTTGCTTTGGGTTGTGTAAAGGAACCTTGTCTAATTCATTCATTTCAGGTCTTTTATTTCTTTATGTTATGCCATTATGGAAGGACAAAGATTATGCCTCTCTACATCTCACTCGGTGGATGACCAACAACACTTCAGGTGTCGGTAAATGGAGTAAATGATAAAGATTATGATGTATTCATGTAGCGCATTCTCCATATGAATATGCTCTAATGTGCTGTGCGCCACTTTGTGGGAGACGTTTGCCAGACTGCATTAAACAGTTTGCAATATTAGTAAGTTGAAGTAAAAATCATATAGGTGTCAATGAACACTTTTACACTTGCCAGTTATTCATCAAAAGGTTCAAAACTGCATAGTAATTGAAGCTTATTATAAGTCTTTTTCTATCGCGCTGGAAGACAAGTTTTCCTAAACTAAGTTCATCGTTGACGTCTCTGGCATCATAAGATAAATATGTGGTTCTATACCAAATTATGTTTCAGTTACCTACCCACCAAATGCACTGAAATAATTGAATAGAGGAAGTAAAATAGCGATAATTTTGAATCTAATTTCTTTGATTTTCCAGCAATACAGAATGGGATTTAGAGAAGAATTGAAATATATTGCAATCGCGCTTAAATGAAGTGCAAAACGGTTTGATTCATTGATTCCAGAAATAAATATTGCGAGCAGGCAAGCAAAGTGTGGTGTGTAGCACAGGATAACTACGCCATAAATCCACAACATGTTATTTACAGTTTTCTTGTATTGAGCCATGTTTAGATCGATTGCGGGCTCGGGGTCTGTCTGTTGTCGAATTTGTGCAGTATGTTGACGAAAACCACAATAAATCCTTAGATAGCAAAGTGATGTAGTGAAACAACAACCGAACATTCCGATTGCCCCGAAAAACATATTGAACGATACACTCAAAAACCAACTTGCCGTCCAAATTGCTGCGAGGATCCACTCAAAAGCAAGAATGAAAACAACTCGTCTAAGTTTCATTACTTGTCTGTAGCTTAATCGAAGACGGAAGGCGAGATATCGGTCAATGGCAATTGTGGTTATAACCTCAAGCGAAACGGCACCAATAAAGGTTGATGTTCGCCCATATGTAATAGCTAAAGCGCAGTAATACTCGGGTATTTCGAAAATAACTGTCATGTAGTCAGCTGTAAACAATGGAAGAACGACCAATCCAACGAAAAGATCCGTTAGAGCTAAACTGCACAACAGGGCTTTTGACGGAGGATGTAAAGACTGGCACTTGCGAAGAGCGAGTAGAATTACAATATTGCCGACTGTTGACAAAATGGAGAAGATGATGATGACAACACAGGCAAAAATGTAGACAGTTTTTGGGAAATTTTTAGCTGCAGGATAATAATAGTTGCTTGTGGGACTACAATATGTTTGAAAGGTCCCCTCCATTTATAGGCAGAGATCGGTGTAAAGTATTTCCTTTCGCCAGACGATCGATCGAAAGCCTGATCAATATAGATCTAGGGCACCCGTGATAAGGTGAATTCCTTTTATAACGATAAATTTAGACTGGAAGGTAACAATCTGTGAATCTAATGAGCAGAAATTGAGGCCGGCCTTTCTTGCATGCGCTGTTTCAAATCTTTGATAGGCATACTTAGATGATACTTCTGTGAGATTTCTGCAGTTGATTCCTACTGCGAGTGACTGTTAACGAAAACATCTGTCGCGTAGTAAAGAGTTGTCAGTTGTTGACGATAAAGAATACAAATATTGTGAATTCATAACCTTTTAGTTCCGTCAAGTTCACAGGTTTCTTTGTTCTGTTAGTAAAGCGGGATGTCGTGTTGCAGACGTACTTTTTTGTACGCGTATGAATATGAAGAGTGAAAAAGGTTGTTATATTTTCTACTCTTAATTCCTGAGGAGTATTGCCAACATATGGCTATACACATTAGGCTTTTTTGAATATACAGGCGGAAGAATATTAATGAAAATATGTCAATTGAAGTTTAATAACACAACTACAAAGACGTAGATGCTTAGGGATAAAAGCTTTGTCAAAATTATATTTGAGTAAAGCTTTGATTTAAATTTTAAAAAATCAAGCAAATCAGTACGCATTTTAATTGGTTTTGGTGTTTTAAGATTTCTTTCACGACTACTGCAGAATATCATTAAGTTTCTCACTGGGAGATATGTCCTGATACAGAATTGATTAGATACATCAGAGTAGTTTAGCCGTATAGTACTGCTGATATTGTTGAACAGCTATCACACTGGGTAACTTGATTATGAAGAGAAATGCTAACATTCTGCTGATGCGAGAAAGAAGCCAGTCACATCTTGATCACCTTACGAAACTAATATTATCAATATCAACCTAGGGGCTTCCACAGCCAGAAATATTTCTAATTACCTCTTTGCTAACTCCAAAATTCAATTTTTTCATTTCAGATTTAAATGGTTCTGCTGCTTCAATATTTGAGTTGAACGACTGAAATTGCGAACCGCTTGCAGTGCTTGTCGTAGGACAGCAATAAATGATTGACATTGCCTATCAGTAGATGAAATACTGTCCATTGAAAAGATGTCTCTTATTGTGTAGCAAACTCCTGCTTTATTCCTTTTTCAATGGAACTGATTTACCTATTTTATGAATGCAGGCGAAAAAAATTGAAATGGTGGTTGTATTATCTCATTTTAAGATCAGTGCGTCTACTTTTTTTTTGTTATGATGAAACCAATTTCATTCTGTCAACACTTAAAAGGTCCTTTTTTTTTCAATTTATTTATCAGAGAAAAGTCGAGAGGGGGTGAAGATGGGTAAGATTTTCGAAGAATTTAACTAATTGCATTTGACAGGTGATAAAAAAGAAACTGCCAGTCGATTTTTATGGTAATCCAAAACTACATCAATTTGTTATTCAGCTTTCAACTTGATTTTGACGCTGTTTAAGTCAAAGAAAACGAACGGAATCACCTGTCAAATTTTCCGGCGTGTTCCCTTGTTTAAAGGATGTTATTAAATTTTTAGCACGAAGCTGAAGTAAACAACGAAATTTTTTTACTTGACAAGCACACAAAAGGAAACTTTTTTGAGTAAATGCCATTTAATTGTTGAAATCTTCATGAACAAACCGGTGATGAAATATGACACTGTTGTAGTCTCTGCCACCCTGCTGCATATCATTTGATCGAAGATTGCATGCGACCTTTAAAAGAGCAATAACTTTAACTTTTAGTTCTTTGATCTTCCAGCAATAAAGAATCGGATTTAAAACAGAATTGATATAGACTGTTGTGGCCACGAACTGCCATGCAAAACGAGTAGAATCATTAAGTCCGGTGACAACTAATGCAAGGGATGATAACAAAGATGACATGTAGCACAAAAGAAAGAGCCAAAACATCCACAATGAATTGCTCACAGTTTTTTTGTATTGAACCACATTGAAGTCAGTCCCTGGTCCATTGGAGTTTAATTTGTCGGATGATGAATTTGCGCAACGTGAAGCCTGATGCCGTGATTGATACTAAAAATAGCAAAAAGATATGATGAGACAGATTATATGCATGGCAATTGTACCAGACAATAAATTGATAGATCCATTTAGAAACCAGGAACCTGCAAAGATTGCGGCGATGATCCACTCTAAAACTAAAATAAAAACAACCCGTCCAAATTTCACGACTTGTCTGTATCTCAGCCGGAGACGCAGAGCGAGATATCGATCAATGGTGTTCTCGAGCGAAACAGCACCAATGAAGGTCGATATCCTGGCATATGTGATAGCCACAGTACAGTAATATCTGGGTTTTTCTAAAATGATCATCGTATAGTATACTACGAAGAACGGAACAACTACCACTCCAACAAAGAGCTCCGTCAAAGCTAAACTACATAACAGAACTTTTGATGGAGAATATAGAGACTGGCATTTGCGAAGAGCCAAAAGAATTAAAAAGTTTCCAACTATTAATGCAAGTAAAGTGATCGTCCTAAGAACACAAGCAACGATGTACACAGCTTTTGGAAATCTTAGCGCGGCTGGGTAGTAGTGAGGGCTCGTATAGCTGCAGAATGGTCCAAATGACCTTTCCATCAATAAATCTTGCCGCCAATCAAGTGGAAATGAAGACAAAGATCTTTTACCGGTTTCTTAAAGGAGTCTAAGCCATTTGGTATATCTAAAGTCCTGAACAGTAAACATGTGGACCTCGTGTCAGAATCCCACAAATGATATTGACTTGATTTATTTTAGTTAGAATTAAATGGTTTGTCAAGTGCTTTCCTTGCAAACTTCTGACTTTATCAAGTCTTTATTGACGCTTTCATGCAGAAATGACAAGTAAATGTCAAATGATTGTCTTTTAATTGCACAGCAGTCTAAAGCAAAAAGATCTGCCTCCAAAGCCAATATGGAGAGAACTGAGTAGCTCAACAACTTTGGTTGGAGTGTTTCCGTTTTTTGTTCTGTCTCTGTTGTCATAGCTTCAACGCTAGATCAGTAATGTTTTAGAGATAAAAAATTTAATTGTGTCTGCAGACGGCGAAAACACTTCAGCGACGTAACTTGTGTCTTTTTAACTACCCTTGTTTTTAAGAAAATCGTTTAAGAGCAACATTCAGATACAAAAATCAGACCTGATTTCTCAGATTATATGACTAATGATTTCCCCGCTTCAATGAACCAGAGATATACACAATTCCTTATTATGTTTACAAAGCCCGACAAGTTAAGCGATTAAACGAGGTTAATTTATTTCAAAATATTTGTACAACAGCTTTCCTGTACATTTGCAACGAGGTGGAAAAAGGATCCTGAATATTTTGCTAGGACTGTAAGAAGCCTTTTTTGAGGAAGTGCTTCCGACAAGTCGTGGAGCAGCTCTCGCCTTAGGATCAACTGACCTCGTTCGAGGAACACTTAAAATGTATTAATGAACCACAAATAGATGAAGACACCGAAAACATCTAATTTACTCTATGAATATCGCAGGGGCTCTTGATAATTTTCAAAATGCAGGTGATACCTCTGTATTTCCTGCAATTTCGGTCAATATATCCCTTCTGTCAATCGGTCAGACCAGGTAAAGGTAAGAAGAGAAACACCAACAAACTCCAGAATATTGCAAAATGAGAAATGTCTAGCTCAGCTCGTTTTTTAGACCCTTTGATATTCATCTGCACGTTTTAACACTCATAAATAACTACAGTAACAACACATTTACATTTCCATATGACCAAGTTAACTTTGTAGCAAAGTGCAACCGCACATGTAATGTTATTGATGCACGCCATGTGTCTGTTCTGTAATATATCACAGATGACGTAAAATTTGATGAGAAAAAACTTAGATTAGTGTTTGAAGTCTCTTTCTAATTGTATTGAAGCCCAAAAACCTTCTGAGAAAAGTGAAAATAAAATGGTAGTTGCAGCGCAATATTTACAATTGGTATTAACACCACTTTAAGCACAATGGTCTACTTAAATGATTTATTACCCTGCAATATCCTCAGTATTTCATAGAGCTGGATTTATGATGGTAGCAATTGCAATAAAAAGCCCTACAATTCCGATGTTGCAGGTTACTATAGACCGCGTCGCCATTGGTGGTTTTCTACGCGTTAGTCTTTTTAAACAAGAAGCACTATCGGGAATGCAGGAGTTTGCACTCACAAAAGTATTCACAGCACATGTAGTTCTGCTGTTAATTGCAGACCACTATTTATATTACTTAAAACTACTTTAATTCCTACTTCGATTCCTCAAGGGGACTCAGAATTTTTTCTTTGTCTCGCGCTTGTGACAAGACGAAAAAACATTTTTCTCTACTTTACATCATGTTATGATATTGTTTTCTGAGAAACTTTTTAAAGTTTTACACCTATTTGCTTCGCTGTAATTTGCCACAGTTTGCTCTCAGATAGTTTAGAGTTTCGTTACTTTCGTGTGCCCCTTCCAAGTGTAAACAGAGAACCTTAACACTAATAACATTTTCCTTGAAAATTGTTCTTCTGAAGATTATGCAGCCTTCTAGATTAAATGAAATATGTAAACCTTTGTCACCCTACCGTACATAATTTTGTTGACAGTGGCAATTATCTATTTTCTCTCCAGCAACATAGAATCAGATGGACGTTAAAAATGGATGATGCATATCACATTCAATATAGTGTAACAAATCGTTAAACCTTTTCCACCTCACTGCATCCTGTTGAATTGAAAGTTGGATAAAGCTCGAAAGAGAACAGTAACTCTATCTTTTAGTTCTTTGATCTTCCAGCAATATAGAATCGTATTTAGCATAGAATTGAAATAAAGTGCTATGGTCCCAAATTGTAACCCAAAACGCGTAGAATCATCAAGCCCTTTAACAACTAATACAACAGACATTAACAAGGATGGTGCGTAGCACATAGCGAAGACTCCAAAGATCCATAGGGAATTGTTCACAGTTTTTTTGTATTGAACCACATTGAAGTCACTCCCTTCTCCAGTGGAGTTAGTCTGATGATGAATTTGTGCAAAATGTCGGCGAATACTCCGATATATGCATATATAGTAAAGAGCTATTAAGAAAAAATTAATAAACAGAGCAAATGCCCCGGAAAGTAAGTTAATCGATCCATTTAGAAACCTGGAACCTGCAAAAATTGCTGCGATAATCCATTCTAAAACCAAAATTAAAAGAACCCGTCCAAGTTTCATGACTTGTCGGTATCTCAGGCGGAGACGCAAAGCGAGATATCGATCAACGGCGATGATGGCTATGTTCTCAAGCAAAACAGCGCCAATGAAGGTCGATATCCTCTCGTATGTAATAACCACCTGCATCACAGAAATGTTGAGGTATTTATAGAATAATCAATGATTTTAGTTACAAGAAGTGGAATAACAACCACTCCAACAAACAGATCTGCCAGAGCAGTTAGAAATGTTGAGGTATTTCTAGAATAATCATAATGTTTTTAGTTACAAGAAGTGGAATGACAACCACTCCAACTAACAGAACTGCCAGAGCTAAAGTACATAATAAGACTTTCGATGGAGAATGTACAGAATGGCATTGACTAGGCAGTGGTGATATGAAATATAGTAGAAGAGGAAAAAGCCTTGCTCCCTCGCTTATCTCAAAAAGTAAGCTAAAGAGAATTATGAAGAACCTAACGTTTTCTTGATAGGTCTTAATCAGTGGTTCGTGTAAGAGTTGTGGACAATCTGCTCAGCGTTTTCTCACTGCTCTTTGCAAGCTGCTTCGTTGAAATAACGAGTGAATGTTAAAAATTGACGAGTGAATGTTAAAAATTTGCATTTCAAAAACTAATAGCAGTCATGAGCAAAAACATCTGCCTCTTAGAAACAACCACGAATTGTGGAAACACGGAGAGTTAGTGAGATAAATTTAGGCTTTTTACGCCCCTTTAGTTGATTATACGTGTGCCGTTTTCTTGTTTATTCCCTGTTCTGAAGGCTTTAGTTGAAAAAACTAATTCATTCCTGCATTACGTCATTCCGTAAAAAGGCAAAAAAACTACTTCGATCAATTTTTCATCCCTCAAGGAACCGTTGGACTGAAAATGTAATTAAATTTCATTTCAAAGACACAATTGTAAAACGTCTCCTGCTACATTTTTAGAATCAGCTGGTTGAAGTTTTGCCCGTCCTGATCGATAAGTGTTTTTTAGAAAATGATGAACGAGGATTGAAATTTTTTATGACATTAGTAGAAGCCAACAATCCCACCTCTATTATCTTGGATTAAGTTTTCGTAAAATCTCAGCGACATTTCAACATTCATAGCCTGGGCAGGGCGCCCACTAAATGTGGTGGCTTTCAATATGTTCCTGTAAATAATTACTGTCAGCACCATGAGCTGAGGAAATAACCCTGGAATAGAGAAATAGTGAATTTAAACTGAGATACAAGAAGAGCTCTATTATATTTACAAATCTAGAGATCTTACTAGATCAAGATATAAGTAAATTTACTTAGGAAATTCAATTAAAATAACTGCGTTAGTCTTGACGGCAAATACCTTCTTGAGTTAAAAACCGTTCCTCGTTGAAGAGGCCGATAATACATTTATAGACTTAGAAAATTATGGATCCCGGCAGGAGATATTATGATCATTGGTTGTGTGCAATCATTCTGCTAAGTTGAAACGCGCTAGGGCTCATCTTGTAACAAAAAACGGAAAACTTAAGGATAGACAACATATAAAGTCCAAGTAAAAAGGAGCCTCACGGACTGTGTACGAAGGAAGAGAAGATGTATTAAGTAACCATGATACTGGTTCATTTGACTAAATCATTATCCACACTTCAAACCTGTAACCCCAATAATTTTGAGTGATTCTGAGTGTTACGACCTGCCGGTATCTCAAGCGTCGACGAAAAGCCAATTATCTATCGACGGCAATTACCACCATGATCAGTTGGAAACCGCTTCAATGAAGCTTGATGTTATTTCGTATGTGACAGCGATAACACAGTCCTTTCCATGCATTTTCAAGATTATCATGATGTAGTAGGCTGTAAAGAGAAGAAGAACCACAAACTTGCGGGAAGATCTCCCAAAGCTAGATTGTGAAAAAAGCTTTTTACAGAAAGTGTAGATACCTGGCACTTGGGAAGAGTGTTAAGAATCACAATTTAACCATCAGCTGTAAAAAAAAGGAGCAGTTTGTGGGTAATTTCGAGAAATTCTGCGGAGATAGATCCCTTGTGCCCTCCATAAGTCGAGACAGGTTGCTTTTCTTAGAACATCTTTGTCAAGTGTCACCAATGAAACGTTCTGATTTGACGATTGTCAGTCAACCGAGGAAATTACCTAAATGCAATTCAGCTATTGCACCTCAAATTTAAAATTGTTTATGAATCCAACGGTAGTATAAAGGCGGCATCCCTTCACACCTCAGCACAGTTTGTGTAATATGGTTTTTGTTACTACCTATTTGATTTTTTCTCATCTTCTTGTGTTGGTTATGCAACGAACCTCAGGAAGCTTATTGCATGCTGTGACCTAAGCAACTCGATCGAGGACACCCGCCAGCTTGAAGCGACTGGTGATGTTCAATAATGAATGGAAATGTAACGAATAATAAATATTTCGACACTCTTTAAGGTGTATAATTTGATCCTCAAAATGATCCCTTTTCTCACGGGATCTCTTCCTAATAAGACACATATGAAGGCAAGTTTTAACCACTTTCCTACTGTAGACTGGTACACTGAAACATTAATGGTATGCCGTTAAGGCTGCTGGCAGACTTATGTCATGTTAGCAGGTGTTTCTCTGTTTTGACTCAATAAATTCCCCTTCAGACAGGAATAGTACAGTGAGTCAAGATGTGTATGACCAAGAGATCATAAGTGAGGATATAACTGATGTCCTTCGATCGTCTACTTGTGAAGCATGGTTGTCATAATCAGATTCAATAAAAATTGACTTTTCAAGGTAGAATACCTTCAAAGATCCTCTAAATTTTCGTAGTCAAACTCCTGAAGAAAACACGTAGGTGTTAACAATGGGTAATAACTAAAATTAAAGCTCTTAAATTTGTTGGAAAAGCTAAAGGAAAGCTCAAGATTAGACTCGATAAAAGCTTTCTTTGAATTACTTTGAATACAGTTGAGGATACTGAATGTGAGTTTGTGGTTTGATACTTGCATCGTATTTCTTCTCATGGGTATGTCATCGTGTATTACCTGACTCATTCAGGGTAATCAAAACAATATTTGCTTGCCAGTTTCCACAGGAAACTGATCCACTTATGATAAGTGCTTTACTTGATACCCAAATAAAATAAGCAACTCATCATCGCAACTAATATTCCTAAAACGTTTTCCTTGTACGACAATCCTTAGTCCGCCAGTTTTAATTTTTCAGTGGGGTTTCTACCCCATAGCAGTTACTATTAATGTTGTGGTTAATCAGATTGCTGGCTGACATCAACATCACTGCCCTCAGTAAGTTCATAGTTTTAGGCATAAAATTTGGGATTTTACATTATTTAAGACTCGTAGCTTATAACAAGACGAAATTTGAAAAAGCGAAAATCTTGAGTTAAAACTAACATATTATAAAAGCGCAAAAAGTCCTTTCATTACGCCTGCAAGGTACTCTCGTAAGTTCAAATCATTGGATTACATTGATTTGGGAAATCCCGCGGTCTAATCACAGGCGGCCCAAGCTCACGTCTCGAGAAAAAGCCAACGATTATTCATGAATGCGTCACGCGTTGTGTGACTCGGTGTTGGCGATTTCTGCTGTTTTAAGCTTGCTTTACCATCACTGTTATTCCTGTCAAAAGTTGGGACTTATGCATTTTAGGGTAACACAAGCTAAGTGATTCCAACCAATCAAATGCTATACAGTGGCCATACATTTGCAGTCTGATGCAAAGGTCTCGTAATTTCACCGACAGGTTCGAGGCGATAAATGATTAATTCGACCAGAGACAGGAGACTACCAAACAAAAGATCTGTCTTGCAGAGCAATGAAAGGCATACTGAATTCCACGGATTGAAAGCGTAATATTTCAACCACCATCATTTTACTTCGTTTTCTATATATCATGTTACCAAGTGAAGAACAACAGCTTCTTTATACGGATTACGCTGAATGCCAGTTGGATGTAGTTCATTTATGAATAGGAAATCAAGTAAGTTTTTAAAACCACCAAAGAAGGTAATGGTACTCAGTAGTTTGAATATTGGCATATTAGCTTTTTAAGAGTTTTGAAACCTCCTCTTGTGCTCAAATTTTGGTTAGTTCAATTTACAGAGTACATATGCATTATGCTCTTGAACTGAAATAGATACAGCAGTGTTACGAAGGTTTGACAAGTTTTAAAATATTCCGTGTTCATGGAATTGAGCATAGGTAGGGCTTGAAACGGAGGTCATAAACTATTCCAAAAAAATAGCCGTTGGCCGACAGTGCCTTCGTGTTTCCAGTACTGCTGCTACATGTTTGACTAGTGCATTCTACTTTCGATATTTTCCTAAATTTCAGCGCTACGTGTATCCTTCTTTGTGGTCGAAATACTCCTCTCAAAATTCAAAACAAGAAAGCAGCTAATAAGAGGCAATTTTCCTGAGGATGGATATGTTGACAAAATTAGTTCTTCTTCGAGCTGCTGGCTTCCTACTGTGGATCTTATTAAGTGCGTGGGTGTTCCATGAAGTGGAGTACACAGAAAAAAATGAAGCTGAAGAAAAGTATCGGTTGTTAGTCTCTTTGTACGTTTTCATGAACTCCAAATGTAACGTCAGTACGGAGGAGTTTGATAACTTTACCAAACAAGCGCACGAGGCATTGAGTGAGCCCAAACCAGAATGGACCTACGTGGCTTCATTTGACTTCGTTTTCCAAGCGTTAACTACAATTGGTAAGGCCACATGAAATACATTTTACATTTCCTTACCTAAATAGACCTATGAAAGAGAAGCACGTTATCTGGTAGCTTTCTAATTTATCTAAACCCCAGATTCCCAAATGATATTTGAATATTAATGCGGGCTTTTCAGGTGAAATTTATCTCAGTTTTTTTTTATTCGAAATACCGTAACGAAAGAATATCATTTTAAGTCAGTTATTACCCATATAACTTAATAACTGAATATCTTTCAGTGAAAATAGGTTTGAAACAATTTCGGTGAGCGATGTACTCTGTAACTTCGCTGCCACCCTTTCAATGACTTGATTCAAATATTGACATGAAAATTGGAAGCATTAACAGCCAAGATTTGACAAAATTGTTTCTATAAATTTTCTATTTTTCTTACAAAAAAGTTGGAGACACATTTCCCACATACTGTATTAACTTTGTTAATAATTGAATTAATAATGGTAACTCTAAGAGGTTGAAACAATGAAAACCACAGTGCGGTATTGGACTACACTTCTGCCGGTTTCAGTTCGACCTGATTTTCATGTGCGCTTAGCTAAATGGAAATAATTTCATTGCTGTCTTGGTGGATTTCAATCTTCCAAAGAAATATAGTCACTGGCTCCTGTGATAAAGATGGTTTAATTACACGAAGCACAAGTGAAGTTTATAGGAGTGAGTCAGGGTGCACTTTGGTAAATTTGTTAAAAAAAAAGAAGTTTATAAACCTTATATCCAACGACTGTTTAGTTATCATATTGTGAAGTGATTCAAATAATTACTACATAAACAAACTAGAAGTCCAGGTAACTCAAATCATCGTAACCGAGGGTATGGTATACTACGCTAGTTTTGGTATCGTGTAACGAAGTCTAAGCTGTTAAAAAAAAATAGAATTCAAATCCTCGAAACACAACTCAAGAACATTAACTTAGAATTCTTTGAATCAGCATCCATCATTCCACCACATAACTGATGGCAGCTTGAAAAACATTTCAGTAATGCATTTTCAACTTCTTAGTACGCATGTTGACAAAAAATGCTTCACCAAGTAAGCAGCAGTTTCAGTATTATAGCGGAGCTCGCAGAGCGTAGCCCCATAATTATACAAAATAGTAGTAACCCATCGAGCCGAAAAAATTTGGATGTACGACCGTACAAGGTGCTACTTTTAACATGCGTGGTCAACTGTACCGCGGGCACGCCAACGCCACGGCTTTGTCCAGTAGTCCAGTGGTTAGTGCACTGGGCTCCGAGTCGGACGACCCGGGTTCTAGTCCTGGCCGGGGCAAGGCGTTGTGCCCTTTAGACGTGCGGAGAAAAAAATGCGAGCTCCTCTTTTAGGTTTGGCTAAATCTATATATTATCTTTAAGTCTGAAGTCTTAATCCTTTAAACCCTAAGAGTGACTGGCATCAAATATTTCCCTACATTATCACCTCTGAATCACACGATGAGGTTATGAAAATATAGGAAATGAATTTTTATTGGTATGCAAATTCTCCTTGTCAGCACCTTAGGAAATGTATAAAGAACAGTATGGAGAATATGGATACTGATGTTAGGGTGCAAAGGGTTAATGCTCGAATTTCGTTCTAATTTCATTCTTCAGGATACGGATACATCACTCCTCAAACACCCTCTGGTCAGGTGCTGTGTATTTTTGTCTGTTTCATCGGGATTCCAATGACTTTGCTCATGTTAAAATCTATTGGAGAACTTATTTCAAGGAGCGTTGAAACGATCGTCACGAAGGTGGAAAAGAGACTACAGAAAAGAGAGGAACCAAAACACATTAAAACAAAGAGTGCCATAATACTGTTTTCTATAATGATAATGATACTACTGTCCTACACAATAATGCTTAACATCGTAATTAGTTGGACATACGTTGAAGGAATTTATTTCTGGTTTGTAACCTTTACTACGATTGGCTTCGGTGACTACATACCACACAGACAAGAAATGGCCACCCCCTCTTTGAACTCCAAAAATTCTCCTAGCAACGAATCACTTAACACACCTTCTATGTTCTTTATCGGCATCGCTTATTATACCTCAACTTTGATTGGCCTCTGCATCGTGTCAAGTGTACTGGACTCCATCGTGAAGGTTCTGGAAGAAAGGAGATTGCGGCCTCGGTGCTCCACATGTGTCCCTCGAAAAAAGAAGAACCACGTTGGAAGTGACAAATGCGACATTCCTGATAAGGAAGAGGCCGAAAATACATTTATAGAATTGGAAAATTATGGGCTCCAAAAGGAGATATCACAGTAATTCACAATAACACTGGTTAGCAAATTTTGGTTGAATGCAATCACTCGTCTTAGTTTAGAATACACAGGAGTCCATCTAGTGAGAAAAAGGGAAAACGCGATGATAAGGAACCTCTGAAGTCCAAGTAAGAGGAGCTGCACTGACTGTGTACGAAGGAGAAGAAGATGTGTCAAGTATCCATAATAATCAATCTGACTAGGTAACCTTCCGCACGGTTCTATTTGGGAATGTACCCGATCGTTAACTTGAAAAAGTTGAACCCAGTGTTCATATCGTTTTGCTAAGATTCATTTCCTTATTCAAAATGAGTTAAATGTTTAACAATATAATAATATGTTATATAACAATATAATAATATGTTATATAACATATAACATCATATGAGTATAACATATTCAATAATATGTTTGACCAGTTTCTGTGGGTAAACTTAATTGACTTATTTGCTCACGATGCTCCTTAAAAAAATTGCTAGTTATTATTAGTATATATTTATTTTATTGGCTCCTGTTTGCTCATGTGTCAACAAAATGATTATTGGTAATTTCATAATGCATTCAATCGAAGTAGTCACAAAGGCCAATCAGCTAATAAGGAAAATTTTACCAATCGGCCAAAGATACGGGAAAACGCAAAAGAGGGGAAGTCGCGATTGTTTCATTGTGCTTTTGGAGTCTTCTATCCAATCGGCTGACAGGGTGTCGAGACTTTTCTTAATCATTTAAGGATCCGAGAAAAGCAAAACTCAACTAATCATGGACTACATTCGACACTGAATTGAAATCTTTTCTTGACTCAGTACTCGAGTGCGTGACACAGTGTGTACGTTATGAACTTGAGAACGTACTTTTGCAAGGAGAAGCTTTATCTACTTAATTCCTGAGCCTACATAATTATCTATGTTCATCGCAACACAGAGTGAGGAATAAGGGCGCGAATATAGACAAAAATTATCGCTTGGCAGGGACGAAACGTCACTCAAGGCTATGACTACGTTAATAGAAGACCTATATTTGAAACACGAATATCTGGAATTGAGGTGAAAGACAATCTTGCTTATCCATCTTTAGTTGCGTAAACCCTACGACCAAGTTTCTGGTCGTCAATCTTGTTTTTGAGTAAAGGGATCATCAGTTACTGCCTCAGGGCTGAAATTATGCCCAGAAGAAAACGAATTAAGTTGGCTGCCAGAGACAGACAGGTTAACGACACAGGTGGTTATGTCGGGAGGAAGATGGAAATGTCATTTTAGACAGCAGGTGTGTGGCAAAACAATAGATAAGTGTGAGTATAATGCAAAGATTACTGTGCTTGAGCACTCTGTTAAGAGCTAATTGTATAACTTGCATCGTGAAATTAGGGAGAAAGTCAAATTTATTTGAGTTTCTCATCGAGTGCCAAGCCAGGGAATTTCACTTAAGGAGTTCACTTAGCTAACCTTCCATGATTGGCTTGTTGTTTTTGCAAATTAATATCAGAGTCGGATTTTGTTTCAAGTTTATTGGTGGTTTAACTCGTTTCAACAACGACGCTTTTAGATCGTTTTCACCGAAGATTTGGAGTTAAATTCCTTCATAAATGGTGAGTTAAAGGTATAAATCATTTTATCAGTAAATTGTAAATACACAGTCTGGGTCTGAGTAACACAGGCATGTACTAATGAAAAATGATTTGACAACGGTAATACTTTTCCTACAATTCCGTGGCGAGTTTGTTCAACCAGAAATCATTCGAAGCGTCGTAATCAGGAAAGGGGTTATAACATTCACAATAACACTTTTACTCGATGCAATGATTTTAGCAGCACAGCTTATTAGACGATCATTCTGAACATTTAACTTTACAAAGGTGGAACTTCCTACTTCCTAGTCGCCCAAAAATTCGATTTCACTCCTACTTTTCATATTTTGAAGCCCAATATATACTTATAATTACGGTGTAGTGTTTTTGTGTGTGTGAAAATATATTTCAGTTATGGAGAAATGATTTTTTTCGTTCGACCGCTTAAACATGCAAATTTTCATCGTGAATATTACCCGCGCTGTGTGACATCATGTGACGAATATACTTGACCTCCGGTATTTCTGTCAACATAATCCTTTGTTTTATCTTCTAAACTTAATCCCCTGTCATTATTAAAGTTGGCAAAGAAATATTTATTTTTTGGGTGAATATTTTTGTCCGACATACTTTTCCTATGTCGAAAAGCAACATAAAAAAAAGACAGTTTTAACAATGACCGATATGACAGAATTTACTGAGCTTCAAGCTTTTAACAGACAAAAGGATGGTTAAAAAGTTTCTGTAAACATTTCCTTGTGTATTTGTGTTGTTCTATCTTGAGGCGAACTCAAAGTCCGGCAAAATTCACTTTCTAGCGACTATGAAATATACATGGTGTGCCTATTTGTCGCCACCGTTTACTGGCATAAATTACAACAATTTGTAAAAAAATCTGGCATAACACTCTTACCTTGTTTATTTATGGTTTTATTAGCTGTCTCGATTACTATATTACGCCTGGGTATTACTTTTTGACAGGAGCCTAGGTTTTGCGTTGCGTTTTACCCTCCCCCATTTAATTTATAAGCTAGTCACGCAACAATTGATTAGGGTCAAAATCAGCGATCTCGTACCTTTCACGGTGTCTCAAACTTTAGTTGACTACCTAAGACCTAGCTGGTACGTTTTGGGGCGTTTTTAGCTCAACAAAATACCTGACATAAGCATTACTAGGACGATTTTAATGAACTGACTTGAGCCTCTAGAGCATATCGATCAAGGTGTTTTTATTTTTGGAATTTTTCAATTTTTTGCTTTTGAATTGGTACTTTTTAGGGTAGACATCGATCGTTGTCACTCCCACACAGATAAGACTCAGGTACCATTTATAATTTTATAGGGGTCGTTATCGAAATTCCCGACACGCAACCCCGCCCTCTTATGTAAAGGTGTTCAGCGTGGGGTGATGACATTTAGCAAGGACAAATTTTAATGTGATTTTTGGTGAGTTTTCAAGTTTTGTCAGCGTCTAGTAGCTTGTGCGGAAGGGTCCTTTACCACCATGTGCATAATTACGCGTCCCACCAGACGGCAGGAGGCCATCAAAGTGTTCAGACAATTGTATAGAAAACTCCGCTTCTGTCTGGATTTTAGGTAGCCTATTGACCAATTCCCAATCGATATTTAGGTCTGACGGTGGTAAGAAGCCTACTTATTGGAGGCAGGCTGTATGAATTTTCCAGACATCTTGTGTACTCTCTGTGATACTCGCTTGTTAATTCCCCTATCTGCGTTTGGAATCGACTTAACCCTACCTTTGCAATGGCCAGACACCTCTTTAGAAACCCAACATCTACTATTGGAACCACGACTCCACCCAACATTGTTAAATCATCGATATCTGTTAGCGTCTCGAAGATGCCGGCACGCGACAAAATAAGATCAACTTCATTTTCTGGGGCTGAAAACTTGCAACTCCGCAAGTGACTTGAAATGTCTTTTTTACAACTATGCAAGGGAACGACTTGAGGTATGCAACTTCGGTCTTCTCGATAACTAAACCCACCAGTTCCACTAGCGAACGATTTAAATGAACAGCAAATCTCCATGCTAGCATGTAAGGTGAGACGCTTATACAACTGATCAATTAGCTAAATCATGATCAGTATGTAGCTTGTCAATCAAATTGACTTTTATAACCATTCTTTGATTTCCGCCGGTGTCCTGGCGGAAATGGAACCCCCGGTCCAAATCCGCTAGCGGATATGGACCCCCCCCTTCCCCGATTTTGACCCCCCAACAGAATTGAGTGCAAACATCATCCTTAACATTCTCTTAGAAATAGATCGCAGATAGTACTTTACGTTTCAGTATGTTTTTAATTCAAAACATGCGTATCGCCAATGCATACGAACTGGCAGCTCGAAATAACCCGTCGGGCGTTTCTTTTGACCAAGAGAAAATGCGCAAGCATTTAGTTCAATGTTTGGAGAGAGGTCGTTTTTGAACCTTTTCCGCGATAGTCGAACAATGCTAGATTCAGTAAGAGACAAACTTGTGACACTAATTTATTTTGTTAATGTTCAATGCCAGAGTGTTGGGACGACATGGTACAGTGCGAGTTTGTTATTTCAGATCCCTCAACAGTTGATGATCGTTAAAATTAGAAAATAAGATTGAGTTCGATGTAATAGTCTCTACTTTTGTTAAGACGTAAACATTAATGTTAATTTGCATCTGAAAATTAGCTGAGAGTTCCAACAGTTTAGAGAAGAAACACTTTTACTTATCATAGGCTTTACGAACGACCTGTAGTAGGAGTAGTTACTTCGTTCAAGTTCAGAAACTGTTTAATGTTATTTAATTAGAAAATCAGTCTCAGGTATTTTTGTGACTGGACGCAATAGTCTCCATTACTGTTATGACGTTTCGTATTAATGTTGATTCGCATCAGAAGAAGCAAAGATTTATTGTTTCAATTTCAATAGTTCGAATACAGTAGTTTGTTCGCATCTAATTCTTGCGTATACTGCACGACTCGCTATTATAAATGCGGTAGAATTGGAACGAAATGGCTGGTTTTTCTTTACCTTTATTGAGGAATGTTGTGTTGTGATTGAAAAGAACATCGACAAAAAGCTTGCAAATAGAATTAGTTACCAAATATGATACAAACGATGCTTAAAAGGAAAGTTTGGTAGGGAGGGGGTTCCAAATCTGCGAAGGAGGGTCCATATCCGCCAGCGGATTTGAACCGGTAAAGGAGTCATCGACGGATCTGGACATTTTAGTTTTCTGAATGCATTAATTCCTGAA